TGCAAGGCATTCATTCCTACTAGAGACCACTGCAGAAATTAAAAATAAGAGTAAAGTTGATCTTTAACAAAACTGAGAATGCAGCTTTGAACCAAGATCTCCGTCATCGATCCAATTCAGAAATGTGATCTAAAAGCAGGTTTGCTTTAAAGGGGCATTATGGAAGTCTGACAGCCAAAACATGTATAGAAATAAAACATTTCTTCTTCATACATTCTCCTGCAATGCCCTGGTCCTGTAGAATGAGCCCTGGCATTTTTACTGTGATTGCCTGTTTTTCTGTAAAATCACAGAAAAAGAGAGCTGCTCGGGTCGAGCAGGCTGCTTCATGCTCATTCACGCTCAGGCATAGCCCGTAGCATTTGCTATCCGTAGCTTTAGCAGCAGAGAGAGAGGCAGTGCCACTTTGTCGCTGTTCCTAACGCCTAGGGATGAACCTAGCTACATTTCTGAGGACCCTTAGCTACTTTCTGTAGAACTTTCTTCTAGATATTTCCTGCAAATTAGCAACAAAATAGCCATTTTCGCTCCGAACCGTTCTTTGGTTTGACGTTGTTTCAGCTGTCATCAAGGATATAAAATTTACAGATGCTGTGAATGTTACTAGAGTGTAGCTCACCTAGTAAGACGTCGGACTCTCGTGCAGAAGACCTGGGGTTGATTCTGGATGTCAACATGGCTTATTTAGTTTCTTTTTTACATTAATGGTATATTTTTTATAGTAAGATGCCCACATTTTTATTTGAGACTCGCCGAACGGCATTGAATTCACAGATAAAAAAGGTTCAACTTTCATGTTGGAACAATTTTTCAAGCAAGGGAAGGGAATGATCTGAGCATGCAGGAGGACGGACCCATCATAAACCTTTGTCGGCTGTGCTGAAGAGAAAGGTACAGAACCAAATTATTTAATTAATTAGCTGTGTGTTCTCCTGTCCTCCCCCCCCCCCACACACACACACACACAGGACTGTCTCAGCTGTTAAGGAGTGTGCACGTACAGCATGCGCGCCTCGTGCACGAGCCTACTATTGAAGCTGCCGTTACGCTTTTGGCCTGAGGGGGCAATCGCGAGCATAAAAATTCTAAAGGCCGTAAAGTCCCTTTAATGAAGTTTTCTACAGCATCAGGCCCCTGAAGAAGCTACTTTGACTTTAAAACATGTATATTTGAACAGTTTTTCATACAAATGATTTCACAACATTTTACGTAAAGCAGCCAAAGTTAGTAGAAAACACTTTTTATATGTTATTTGTTTATAAATTGTTGCCAATAAATGGGATTAATGTAGTTTTTTTAACTAAATATGTTTTTTAAGTGAATCCTCATAAGAAGTGCAGTCAGATCATCATGTTTGATGCTTAGTTGTCTCATATCCTCTTGCTGAGATCAGATCAAACTTAAATTCATTCATCTGACCTGAACTTCTTTGAACCCGATGAACCTAGATGGTCAACAATCCCTCCTCTACTTCTAATCCGGTGTCTGGGTTTCCTGGATCCACGGGGCTGATAATAAAACCTCCAGCTTTCTCTCTGGGGCAAACATGACCGATATCAGAGAAGATGACTGGAATTTTCAACAGGAACAGGTCCTTCTTGCCCCCGGTAGAGCCAATCAGAATCTAAATGATCTGTCCATTCACGCACCGCTTAGAAATCTGAACATTTCCAGCAACAAAGAAACGAATGTCTCCTGGTTATTACCCAGAGACTTTTGTTGCCATGATGGATGCCACGTAACCCATCTGCAAACACAAAAGGAGCAGCACTGCAGGAGATGTCGGTGTGATAGCGTCAGAGGAACACACGGCCGGTCGTAACAGCAGCTTTATGTGAGGACGCAGCGAGACGCACGAGGAAGGAGCTGCTGCAGGGCCTGATGTCAGACAGCAGATAACAGCTGATCCAGGAACGCTGAACCCTCAGACACCGGCGAAGTTAGTTTGAGTGGAAAAAAGTAAGATAAACGCAGCTGGTGGGTTTGTATCTCCCTTGTGATAAGCGTTCAACAGAGAACCTGAATGTTGCAGTGTTCACTGAAGCCCACAGAGAGATTGGTGCTGATAAGATCAAACGACTAATGAGACAAATATAGTAAACTTCAGAGGAAAAAACTGCTAATGTGTTTTCTAACTAATCCAGTTAAAATTCAATTTCCTGATGTGGTTTTAGGCTTTTTTGCTTATCTTAAAAATCTGTTTTCTTCATAATCTGGTAAAAAAATGAACCAACTGAACAAATCTCTCATATTAAAGCTGTTTTAACAAATTTGGAAAACAAATGAGCCAAAACCCATTTTTTCATGCCTTTTACCAACGTTCTAACATAGTTTAGCCATAAATATATTGTGAAGATTAACGAACAAATAAAGCGGTTTTCTCACGTTTGTCTAAAAACCTCCACCAATAACACATTTTGGACCAAAAGTAACTATTTGGACCATCCGGCTGTCGGTCTCGCCAAACTGCTGCACTTCCCTGGGTCCTCCTGGGTCATCACTAGGGATGGGTACCTATGACATTTGAATCGATTCGGTACTAATTCCCGGTACCTAGGAATTGGTACCGGTACTTTCCGGTACCAATTTTAGATACTTTTGAGTGTTTAATATTTAAATTCTCTTTTATAATTAAATATATATTTTTCTCAATATATAACCATATTTGATAAATATCACAATAAATAACATATAACTGTTTGTATTTTAACATCGTCCTTGTAGTTTTATAAGCTGATAATTAAACTGAAGCAAACATCTTTACTGTGAACTAAATTTACTGTGTATCTTCATTCCTTTTGCCGTCCTTTTTCATTAGATTTTTCCTACTGGGAAGTTAGAATTTCCGAGGAGAAAGCGAACGCACCATTAGCTGATAACAATGGTGGCAATGGAAGCTAACATATCAAGCTAACGTTATCTTAAACAGTTTATTTAACTGCTGGAGCAGATTAAAATGATGATGCCTCACACTTAGATCGTTGTCACTGGTTTCATCTTCACCCAATCACCCGTCGCATTTAGTAAAGTGAAGCCAAACTTTAGAGCACGTTCATGTTCTTCTAGTCGGAAATTCGGAGTTCCGAGGAGAAAGCGAACGCACCATTAGCGGAACGGAAGCTAACAAATCAAGCTAACGTTATCTTAAACATTTTATTTACCTACCGGAGCAGATTAAGGTGAGGATGTCTCACTTAGATCGTTGTCGCTGGTTTCATCATCACCCAGTTACCCATCACATTTAGTGAAGTGGACCCAAGCTTTAGCGTGCGTTCTTTCTACCATGCTGCTCTGTTTACAACTCGCTCGCAGCGACCGACGACATAACGCTCTTGCGCATGCGCAGCTGTCTAGGCAAGTTCTCGTTATGAAGGACGGGTACCGAAACGAGGCACCGTTTCAAATGACGTCAATCGGTGCTCAGTCGGTACTTTCGAATTCAGTCGGTACCTTAAAAAGTAGCAAATTCGGTATCCAGCGCTAGTCATCACACACTCAGCAGCAGAACACCACTGGTGTGACAGGCTCTCCACTCATTAATATCAGAGGAGAAGCAGCCACTGCTACCACTCCAATTTTAGGACAAACTTACCAGAGTCCCAAAAAGAAAAACACCATTTGAAGTCATGGACAGCAAAAGACGTTTGGACCTAGAAAATGGAGACTGGTGTTTAGCGCCATCTCGTTTCCTCTGGCAATGCGGGTTTTTTGTTCCCGTGGAATGGGGAGCCAGGGAGGGGTGAGTGTTCCGTGTTTCGCTGTTGCAGCTTTAACGTTAAACATGTACTCGGAATAACGAAGCTAATTCAGGTGATTGTCTTCAAAATCTAGGCGCAGCGAAGTAGCAAAAACACATTTGATCTCAGAGAAGACGTAGAAAGCCTCTTAAACCGTTGTGATCGGATCGTGCCCCTGTTGTTAAAATAAGCTTTAGTCCGTTCTCTGTGTAATAACCTGATCTTTCAGTCCATCCGTTTTCTAAACCCGCCTGTCAATAGGCACACACACATGCACACGCACACACACACACACCCCTAAGGACAATTTAGACAGACCAGTCAACCTGACAGTCATGTTTTTGGACAGTGGGAGGAAGCCGGAGAGAACCCACGCATGCAAATGGAGAAAATGCAACCTCCACGCAGAAAGACCCCAGGCCGGGACTTGAACCCAGGACCTTCACGCTGCAAAGCAACAGCACTAACTACTGCACCACCGTGCAGCCCTTAACAATCTTAAAGCCACCTGTCAAACGTCTTTCATGCAAAAAGGATAATCTGAAGTATTTAGCTAGTGTTTTAGAACTTAGTACCTCAAAAGCATGCTTAACCACGTGGTTAGGAAGGAATGAACATGTGCTGCTAACTGTTGGGATTTCCAAACATAAAGGCTGTGTCCAAATTCAGAGAACGCATCCTTGTGAGGACCCGTCCTACCCGGTCCAGGTAAGACCGGACGTTAAACGGCCTCGTCTCTCCTCTGTGACATAATCCACCTTTGAGGACACAGCCTTCATTTTTATTTTACTAAAAGTAAATGTGAGGAGGATGTTGCTTGTTTTCATATTTAGTGTTCCTGTAAAGTCCCCACACACCGGGAATCACAGAACATGACTTTACTTTGTTGCATTTTCTTCTCAGCAGAGGAGTCCTTCAGGGTATAAACTCCTGACCTCCTTTTTAATTTCCTCCAGCTGTTTTTGAGCTTGGTCTCGATAGCCCCCCCCCCCCCCCCCCCCCAATCATGAGCGTTGATTGAGGCGACTGAAGATGAGAAGTGTCAGGTATACGAGACTGAGCCGAGGCAACTAGGAGCCTCTGTCATTTGCAGCTAATTGATGCCGTTAATGTCTAATTTGTCGCCACCAGTGCTCCCCGACTGCGAGGGGAGCACGTGTCAGTGAGTCACGACGGTTTTTACCTCTCAGACTATTTCAGAGCCGATGAATTTTCATGCATGGCAGAAGGTACTAACCTCTGTGCACTGCGCCCTCTCTGCAGGACCTGGACGACATCGAAGATGAGAACGAGCAGCTCAAGCAGGAGAACAAGACCCTGCTGAAAGTCGTGGGTCAGCTGACAAGGTAGAGCCACTCCGCACGACCCGGACGTGGCGCGACAAGCCCGACCTGCCACCTGACGTCCTGAGCGTTGGCCTTGTTTCTGTTTGGTGTGGTGTGGGCGAGACGTTGACCTGAGAGGCCGGAGCTGTGTGGTGGGGATTGTCTGTCATCCTACGCATATTTAATGTAAATGTCTTGTACATAGGCATTAGATTCTTATTCCTGTCGAGGGTTTAAAAATGAAAAATGAAATGAATGTATGTGCTGCAACAACACGCACCGGGAAACGACGTCCTGAGGATCAAATCCAGGCTCTCTGCACATCTAGTCCCGTTAAACGATGTTCGAATTACGTCTCCATCACCGCCACAGTACCAGCAGCCAAAGGGGCCTCAGCGCCTTGCATCTCATCAGACTTCTCCTTTTGTTTCAATTCTTTGTGTAATTGTCGAAATCACTAAAGCCTGGTGCTTTATTAAGGATCTCTTTCCAGATTGATCTACTTCTGATAACTTCTTGGTACATTTCAGTCCAACGAGAGCATCTGAGTCTAAAGAAAGATGTAAATACGTTCTATGAAAGTAAAGATGGTTTTATGGATTAAATGCTTTATGCGTCATTGTTAGCATCTTGTTTACAAGTTACCACGGTGTTGGAACGGCTTCCAGCGCAGCCACTTGTCTTTTATGATAACCAAATGAACTAAAGGAAGCTGATATTTGAAATGAATCTCTTCCGTTTACTCGAGGGGCCTAGCTGCTTGGGCTCGGATCGTTTCATTCCTCCTGCGCCGCGCCGGCAGATCTTTAGTCTGCTGCACGCTCACACATTTTGGGGTGAAGATCAGCCCCTTGCAGACGAGCATCTCAGACCTTTCTCTCTTTCCATTACATTATGCATGTACAGAAGATTAAGACATTTAATAAAAGTTTGATTATCGCACTCCTCAGTCGACTCGCTTGTGTTCATTAAGATTAATTTGATGTGATGATACCGTGCCACCGAGTCGGTAATGCAACGTGACGGTGATGGTGGGGGTTCGTTCCTCCTCTTGGCTTTCAGCACACACACACACACACACACACACACACGGATGATGATCCAACATGTCAATCATGTAGCTGAGACGTGACCCCCCACCCCCTCCAGTTTATTATGCAACAGACACACAGTAATAACTTCACCTAGTGGCAGAGTGGAGGAGGAAACAGATCTATATTGGACTAATGTTCACTAAATTTCCAGATAATGGCCTCTTTGAGAGCATGGAAGGTGCCGGAGCCTCTCTCCGTAATCCACATTAGCATTTTTATGGAAAGTTGTGAGCTTTGTCATTTAGCGAGGCCGCAGAAAATCCATATCTGCCGTCGGTTTGCCCTAGATAAGGATCCGCGCTGCTCTCAGCCGCTCCGTCGGACCTCCTCTAAGGTTCAGAGTCCTCTCGGGCTCGTCCTATTCCTCGCTGGTTTGTCTGAGTGAAGCGGTTTGTCAGCCCGTCTCGTCGGTCTGAGGCTCCACGGGAAAATATCAGAAGATTTTTAGGATGCAGCACAGCCTGGAATTGTTACAGACGAGCAGCTGCGGACATTTTCAGACGAGCTGTTGTAAACCAAAGCAAATGTCAGAGTTGGTGTCCTCCAGCTCCAGTGACAGTGTGTGGATGTTGGGGAGCGTGACCTCGTGGATGCTTGGCAACTAGGATGATTTATGGTGCTCTGTTGAACTACGAGCCCATTTACGATGCTGGTGAACGGTGCGCTTTGCCCCTGGCCCTCACCTGCCACCAGCCTGCACCACACCTGACCTTGGCTGTTGTGATTGCACGTGGTATGCTCGCCAATAGGTGGCTTCCTGCTGTTTGTTTTAGCCCGCTCCTGAAGCAAATTCTTTTAATTGGACTCTTACCCCTGAGGACAGTTAGCCTTCCAGGTACTGCCACTTCCACCACCACCACTCAGGCCCCTCCCACCACGTTAAGGTGGCGACTCGCACGCTGGGCCCGGCCTTAGACATGGGGTGGAGGGGAGGTTTGGAGTTGCTGCTCCTCCACATCGATGAGAGCTTGCTGAGGCGGTTCGGGCGTCTGTTTAGGACGCCTCCCTCTGGAGGTGTTCCAGACCTCGGGGAGGAGACTCCAGGGCTGGTGGGATGTAATCTCTGGACTGAAACCCCCCGGGGGAGCTGGAGGGTGTTGCTGGCAGATGATGGAGATATATTTTTTTTTACAAATCAGTCCAATGTCAAAAAAATCCTAAAAGTAGTTTTTGAGATCATTTTCAAGGCCTTGAAAGTGTAGCTAGCAGTAACCTTTACTTTTACAAGACCAGGAAGTGAAATCGTCATTTTGAGCATATTTTTACTGTTCTTGTGTTTAAATCTTAAAGAAATGTGTGATCTACAGTTTAGGAAATCCTGATTGATGCAACTCTTCGTGTAAACTGTCTCACAGCCTATTTTATTTTATTTTCAGTCACACACACACACACACTCCACTTAACTCCCACGTTGATTTATTGCGTTGCTCAAGGACGCATCGACACGGATCAAACCCCCGACCTTCCCGTCGGCTCATGAGCGAACGTATCGGTTAATAGTTTTTCACTCAGCAGGTCGAGATGCTGGTGTTCATCTCTGACTTCAGTCTGGTTTCAGCTGGTTTTAGAGGAAATAAACGCTTTAGAAGAGACTCTTTCTGTGACGTCATCAGGTTGGTTCCATTACTTCCAATTCAGAGTTATTATGTTTATGTTTATTTATTTAGCAGACGCTTTTGTCCAAAGCGACTTACAAGTTATAACCTATAGGGCACGTTGTGATCTGTGGGGGAAACCGGAGTACCCGGAGGAAACCCACGCATGCATGGGGAGAACACGCAACTCCACGCAGAAAGGCCGCAGCCGAGTTTCGAACCTGCGACCTTCGTGCTGCGAGGCAACAGTGCTAGCCACTGCGCCACCATGCAGCCCGTGTGACACGTAAAGCAGGAGGAAAATTCAATTATATTTTCATAGCTGTGTTTATTAGCACCACTGAACTGGTTGTGAATTAATTTATGGGAGTTTATAACGTTCCTCCCTCAGGAGCTTAAATATTAGAGAAACTAGACTGCACTTGAATGAATTCATCACAAATGATTATGACTAAAAGTCTGAGCTCAACAAAGAAAATGTCAGTTTTATAAGAAGAAATGTTACTAAATACCGACTCTTCTGCTGTTTTAGAGCATTTTAATCCGCTCTAAATGAACAAAATAAGCTGCTAGTTGTGGTTTTAAGGAAATTACTCCAACAGCCTCCCTTTAATGGCCTCTAAGACGTCTGGATGGGGCTTTTGAGCACCTGTTTTAATGCTGTAAAGCACATTTTAAAGTGCCTGGGTTTGCACACATTGTTTGGGAAAATCCAAGGATCTCCAAGGCCATCCAGATAAATCTGAGCAGATAAACATAAATGCTGTGTGGAGGCGTGTCGGACATCAAAATAGAAATCCTTTTCACGAGTGGATTTCTTCTCCTTTTTGTCGTTTTATGGTTCAGAAACCCCCAGAAGTCAAATTAAAACTATGATGTGTCATGTTGGAGCTCATGTTGCTTCCTTTTCCTGATAACCAGGACAGAGATGAAAAGCCGCTCTTGTCATGTCCTTGAAGGTACCTGGAAACATTTTATCAGTTGGTTTCTTGCTCCTGGTTCTCCGGCCAATCTTCTAAATCTCCAGGACCCCCAGGGGAAGGAGGCGCTCGTCCGCACCGAGCATGGCAGAGGTCGGGACGCCTGGAAGAGCCCCAGCAGATGGACTGAATGATACTTGGTGTATTTCTTGCAATCTTCTGTGTCTCCTCTGGTTTTTCTCTTTCAGCTTTATCACAGCAGACCATTTTCTCGACCAGCAGCCTGAAAATGACCACCTGTGAACCTTTTATACCACATAATCAAAAACCAAGTGGCGTATCCGGCGATGCGGAGACCATATTCAGACGGGGCTGTCTTTGATGGAAATGTTGTTAATCTAATGTCTCAGTGCTTTCTGGAGAAGTCGCAGTCTGGCTGAAAGCTAATATTTTTCTGTCTCTCTCAGTAAAAGTGCCTCGTTTTTTTGTGCAAGTCCTGCTGTTTGATCAGCTGTTCTGTGAAGAAAACCGGCTGCATGTTGGAGCTGGAAAATTGCAATAATGAGACTTCAAACGCTTGGTTTGCACTTTCCTGAATACCTCGGCCACATGTGGAGCTGCCCTTTGTTGAAATGCTCTGTAAAAGTCAACGGCATACTAAAAGTTCACAAACAGAAGGAAAATCAACTAATGATGGACCAAATGCGTGACATTTACCAAATGGCATAATTTAGCTCATCGGGCCAGAACTCCGATTGACGATTTTGATGCTTTGTTTTGGTCTTTTTAATCACGCAAAAGCAGGAAGTGAAAGAAATGTTCTTTTTTAACTCACGAATGTGTGAAAATGTTCGATTTGTGTCACAAGAAGGAAAAACGATTCTCCGATGCAGCTTTCCTGTCAAATGCATGTTTGAGCTCACGTGCAGGGTTCATGCAGAGGCGTGAAGATGCTTCACTCATTCAGCAGCGCGCTGCTCTGTAGCAGAAGCAGAGGATGAGGGGCTTCGAGAGTTTGCTTCTCCTTTGGGAGCTAAGTCATCTTCTCTAGAGATGCCTTCCTGGCTAAGAGGGGTTACCAGGGCAACTGGATGTGTGCTTCCTGTTCAGGGAGTTTAGGGTTTGTTTCGAGAGGGGAAGACAGAACCTGTTCATTTACAAAACACGTGCAGATTAAATGTACTTCTGCACCAACAGAGTCTTGAGCTTTGTGCTTTGATTTAAAGGGAAGTGGCATTAGCCACCCTGAGGATGGTGATGTCCTCCTCTTCCTTCCTGCTCTTCGCCAGCGGGTGGCAGCGTTCCTAGTCTGGAGCTCAACAGCTCATCACAGCAGGCTCATGTGTTCAGTGATCCTTGGTGCCAGTCTCCTGGGGGAACACCCCTCATAGAGAATCTGGAGCTGAATCCTTGTCATCAAAGGTGTAATTCCATATCTCGCCCACTCTTGGTTCTTCTCATTTAACAGAATCTGTTACATAACAGGCAACGCCCTCTTGATCCTGGGTAGAAAACATGGATGGGTCATGACCTCACTTGATCCTGAATGAGATGTAATTAAATTCCTATTTAATAACTCATCGTACGATCGATGAATTAGCACCTGCAGACTGATCATGAGCTGAAGAAGGAGTTAAGTTCAGAGACGTCGTGGCTATTTCCATCACTTTTCCACTTTTGCTCATCCATTTTAATAAGCCCCATCCTCCAGGGAGGGAGCATGTGAATTTGAATGCTGTTGATGACTCACAAAGTCTGTGCCAAGCAGAATAGGAGGCGGCTCTAGGGAGCATCAACAGTCTCTGAAGGTCACTCTACGCTGTTACCATGACAGCGCCGGCCTCCCTCGGAGAAGTTGTTGGGTGTTTGTGTTGTCGTGACTCTTGCTTTGGGTTGTGTGCAAAAACAGCACATATGCCTCCCTCCAAAGTCAGCAGGAGGAGAAGTGGAGGTGCGTGTTTGAGCCATGGGCATCACATCCCTCCCCTGGGAGAAACACCAAACTTTAAACACTCAGAAATCAACACGAATCATTCCGGCTAATCCGGAGTGATCAGTGGCCGGAGTCTCACCTCTGTGGCTTCCTGCATGTGAATCGACTCCGTGCAGATGGATTAGACAGACACTTGCTCTAATTACCCATCTGTCATCTACACTTAATCTACACTTTTAAAAGCGGCCTTCCTCTTTGTCCCTCCATTCAACTGTCAGCCATCACCGCCCACAGCTTCCCTGTGGTTGTCTGTGGAGGACGTGCATCACCAGCTGGATGCAGGGTTCATCCATATATGCAGGACTATTCCCATGGAAGCTCCCCTGGCAGTCCGCCCCACAGGAAAT